GGGCTCTCCAACATCCAGGTGGAGTGGCTGAGTCGGGCGACTCTGGACAATGGCGAGTGGCAGCTCCACCCGTCGTTGTTCGGAAGATCTGTCAGAGGTTTGGGACTCCTCTGGTGGATCTGTTCACCTCGCCCGCGAACTCCCAGCTTCCTCGTGTTTTCACCCGTTTCCAGTCCAGGTCTGCGGAAGGCATGGACGTCCTCAGGAGCCGGTGGCCCTCGGGCCTTCTTTATGCATTCTCTCCCATTCCCCTCGTCCCGGAGACCATCGGGAAGGTGGTGGCCAAGAAGGCCCTGGTCATTGTGGTGGCCCCTTATTGGCCCAGGAGGCTCTGGTTCGCAGACCTAGTCCAGCTGTCGGTGGCCCCTCTGTAGAGGATTCCTCAGGGGGAGGTGGTCTTGCTGCAGGGGGCCCTGATTCACCCGGAGCCCCAGTGGCTCCATCTGGCCACCTGGCTATTGAACGGCAGCTTCTGAGGGGGGCTAACCTGTCCTCCAGGATCATTCATACCATCGAGGCATCTTGGTGTCCATCGATGACCCACATTTACTATTCCACCTGGGCGGCCTTTGTCCGGTGGTGTTCTTCTCTTGCCATTTCTCCCGATAGGGCCGCAATTCCTAATGTCTTGGACTTCCTCCAGAAGGGCCTTGACGGTGGGCTTTCACAGAATATGTTGCGCCGCCAGGTGGTGGCTTTGTCTTCGGTCCTGGGGGGGTGTCTTCTTCTCTCTCCCATGTTCCCTTGTTCAAGGGTTTTTCTGAAGGGGGCAGCTAATCTCAGGCCTCCCCCTGTCCGCAGGTTCCCCATGTGGGATCTTCCCCTGGTGCTCAGGGCTTTGACCGGGGCCCCGTTCGAACCTCTTTGGTCTGTTCATCTGCGATTCTTGTCGCTGAAGGTGGTTTTTCTGGTGGCAGTTAACTTCCGCTTGACGTTTTTCGGAACTGGGCGCCCTGTCGTCCAGGGACGACCTTTGCCATTTTTCCCAGGACAGGGTGGTGCTTCGCCTTGATCCTACCTTCATCCCGAAGGTAACCTCTCCCTTCCATAGGGCTCAGGAGACGGTCCTGCCCGACTTTTGCCCGGGCCCATCCAATGATAGGGAGAGGCTATGGCATCGGTTGGACGTGCGCCGCACTCTGCGGATTTACCTCCGGAGGACCAGAGAGATCCGTAGGTCGGTGGCCTTGTTTGATTCGTTCCAGCCAGGAACGCTAGGTTCTAGGGTGTCCTCGGCCACCATTGGCCGGTGGTTGCGTCAGGCCATTACGGAGGCATATGGGGCGGTTGGTCGTCCGGTCCTGTCGGCATCACAGCCCATTCTACCAGGAGTGCCGTGACCACGGCAGTGTGGGCCACGAGGGCCCCGTTTGTGGACATTTGTTGTGTGGCCACTTGGGCTTCTCCAACGCCTTTCATCCGACATCGTCTGGATGCCTTCGCATCTGCGGATGTGTCCTTTGGTCGGAGGGTCTTGCAGTGGGTGGCGGCTGATGCTCCCCTTGGGTCCTAGTAGTTTTCTTGTTCTCCCTTCCTGGGACTATAGCTTGGGTATGTCCCACATGTGACCGCTCCCTCCCTTCCTCTTAAAAGACACGTTCAGGTAAGACCAACATTATTTTTCCAGAGGAAGGGAGGGAGCGGTCACATGTGGGACATACCCAAGCTATAGTCCCAGGAAGGGAGAACAAGAAAACTACTAGGACCCAAGGGGAGCATCAGCCGCCACCCACTGCAAGACCCTCCGACCAAAGGACACACCCGCAGATGCGAAGGCATCCAGACGATGTCGGATGAAAGGCGTTGGAGAAGCCCAAGTGGCCACACAACAAATGTCCCCAAACGGGG